AAGCCGTGTCTGGTGGACACTGGGCGGCTGTGAAGGCCATGGTCGCCTCCTGGCCCTGGCCGTGCCTAAATCTGGCGTCTCTGATGAGCAACATGCAGCCCAGTGGTCCGACCGTGATGCTGAATGTGTTCAGGATGCTCGAAGTCCTGGTAGACCAGGGGCCCCGCCACGCCGCGGGCCAGCTCAGCGTGCTGTGGCCCACAGCTCCGGTTGAGGAGGCAGAACCCGAGTACAGCGTCTCGTTCGAAGACCTCCAGGAAACGGACCCAACCTACGGGTTCTGGAGGAGAGAGGACTTTTACAGCTCAACTCCTTGTCAGCCACCGCTTGCAGATGTCAAGCTGGTGGGAGATCTGAGCTTCCAGGAGACAGAGTGGAACGCTCTGCTAACCTTCCTCACATGGAGAGTGAAGCAGGTCAAGGTGCTCCCTCTGATTTGCTGTCAGAACCTGAGCTTTTCGGATGATCTCCCGGGGCATCGCGTTATTCAGAAGATCCTCGAAAATGTGCAACTGGATGGTGTCAAGGAGCTGAGAATCCACCACACGTTGAAGAGAAACCTCTTGTCCTTGTTAGCCCCTTACCTGTGCCGCATGGTGAATCTGAATACTCTCGAACTCCAGTCCCTGACCGCAAGGGACTGGACCTTGACGCAACGTTCCCTGGACAAGGAAAGAGCCAAAAAGCTGGGCAGTATCTTCACGGAATTCACTTCCCAGCTCACGCACCTGCGCCAGCTCCAGCATCTCCTCCTGATTGATCTCTACGTCTGTGGAAACATCCACCGGTTTCTCAGGTACCTAGAGACCCCCTTGGAGTCCCTGACCATTTCCACCTTTTACTTCTTCGTAGAGAACTCAGACCTCGAATCGCTGTCCTTGTATCCCTGCACCAGTAGGCTGAGGGCACTGAATTTCTCCAGTACCAATCTTGCCTCTTTAAATCCCGAGTTGCTCCGAGTTGCCATCGACAGGACCTCAGCCACCCTGGAGCGCCTGGACTTAAGTGACTGTAGACTCAAGGATTCCCACCTCGATACCATCGTACC